AGTCCTACAACTAAATTTTTTTGGCATGAATGATCCTTCGACGTTTTCCACGTATATGTCAGGTGGTGCTTACTCAACGGACACGTGTGCTCCGCCGTACCTCATGAGCAAATCTCCAGCATCAGATGATCAATTGGGCAAAAAAAAAATTCATTTACATGACGATTTATATATATGTTCTAGGAACTAAAATGACAGTTTTCTCATGATTTATATATAGATTGTACTCACTTCGTCTCTTGAATAAGTATCTGATTGTTTTTTGCACATAATTTTTTTAATATTAATATAATACAGATATGTAGTACAAATTAAAATAAAATGACAAAAATAACATTATTTACTTTGTACGATATAAATGCAATAATATTTGTAATATAGCGAAAATTGTAAATATATTTTTAATATTAAGTAGATTATACAGTTATATAAAAAAATTGTTAGGAGACGAATGAAAAGTAAAAAACAAATACATAATTTATTAAGGAAGAAAGAAAGTATTATTTTTAGATTTAGCAAAGAAAGTATTATTTTTAGATTTAGCCGGGTTTTATATGATCCTGATTTTGCCTTTTTGATTTTGAGACTTTTACACTTTAAAAAAATAAAAATAATTGAAAATGATATTTAATTTTATAATTATTGTATGTACAAGAATTTACGTAAAATATAATTAATAAATAATTACAAAGTATATTAGTAAAATTAATAATTTTATAATAAAAATAATTATAAGTTCATATAACTAAATAATTTAATTTTAATTGAGATTAAAAAATTAAAAAATATAAATTCATATTTTAAAAAAAATTTATTTGAACGCTTCAAATATTTTATGTGGAAAAAAAAATTAATATTATATATATATATATATTTATAAAGTTAGCAGTAGCAAAATTACTAAAAATGTTCTAATAGATAAACAAAGCCCCGTAATTTTATTCCTGTCCTGCTATTCGCTGGGCACATGCACATGCAGGCATTAATGCTGATTTTTGATTTCATGGTATATGCCCATAATATTCTTACATTAATTTTTGCATCTCCAATTTTCCATAATATTCCAATACACTTGCGGGCCTTATGCTATTCTCCATAAATATCCTTTTACACTTTAAATCGGATTTTGTATGCGTTGGACAAGGGTTTAAAAGTACCTGAACATGAAAGAGGCTCAAAGATAAAAGTGGAATCAGAACTCATTGGCCACGGAGCCGCTCAACAGCAATGGAGCTTCAAGTCTCGGAGCCAAAGACTGCTGCTTCCACAGAGCCGAAGACAATAATTTTCATTGGATTGTGGTGCTTCTACAGGGCCGAAAGCAGCAGCCTCCATGAACCTTAGGGCATCAACTTCTTGGACTATGGCGCCTCCATCCCGGAACAATATTTCCATAAGATCAGAAAGTGTTGTCTGAATTGGGTTGAAAACAACTACTTTAGGTCTGGGTTAATAACTTCGTACTTAACATTAGTGGAGGGCGTATGTACTTCCATACTTTATTCAAAAAGTTCTATGGAACAAGCCAACAAGAGGAAAACCGAAGATTCCATTTAGTTCGAGGCTGTTGAGGATACATCCTCGTGGACCGGCTAAGAGTACAATGGAAACAAGTCGGAGTAAGCAACAAATTTGGTACAGAGGCAATGAAAGAAGTTCAGAGCAAGTGGAACCCGGTCCAGGGCAATGGAAGTGGTTGGGAGCTGATGGGGAACTGATGGAAGGAGTGGAAGGAGGTTACTAGACGGTTGGAGACAGTAGTGGGAGGTTATTAGACGGTTGAGAGTGGTGGAAGAATAATTGGAACTGTCACTTTTAGTTGGAAGAGACGGTTATTCTATTTTAGAAGTAAAACTAAGAAAAAACACATCAACACCGGCACAAGAAGATGAACTCGTATTTTTCTCTATTTTCTTTTCATGTTTTAGTTTCGTTTTATGTATTTTAATTCTAATTACATGCTTTTTTTTTATTCGCTTTCCAAAGATGTTAATTTAAATCCATCGAAATCGATCGTTTAGGCTCAAAGCCTTGCTTAGGCTCGAAGCCGTGCAGGCTCCACCGAAGGAGCCGTCCAAAATTCGATAACGGACAAGCTATTTGGAATACTTCCGGAACCCATACAGACAAATCGACAAACGGTTTTGAAACCTCCTAATTTTAAGATCCAATAGTATGTGACATATAGTTCGTCTAATATAATTTGTCTTGTCGGACTTAATTTGAAGGCTATTACGTTTAGTTATACATTTCCAATTTTTTTAAAAACATAATTATACACTAATGCTAAAACATTCTTAACTTTTCCTTAAATTACAAACATATCATTACACATACAATAAAATATTAGTATTTATTAGTCACATTTTAAATTTTATAATTTTAATTAAAATATTTAGTTAAAATATCATATAACACCTATTTATATCATTTTACAACTATACAACTATACAAATTCACAATATTACTATTCAAATATCAAATCAAAATCTAAACATCCAAACAAACACACCATAATATTATGTATATAAATTCCAAAATAAATATAAAAAAAAAAAACCAAATCCATGTCCCTATATAGCACGCTTCAAGAATATTTATTCAATTGTATTTTCTTTCAATTTTACATTTTAAATTTTAAATATTACGTAAATTATCAGTTTAAAAAAAAACAAAAAAAAAATTTGAAATATATATATATACAAGCCAATGTAGTCTAAGTAGCAAAGGTCAAGGACAACATTCCTGAGACATCAATACCAATAAAACAATACTAAGTCTATCAAGTATAACTAATATCAACACTAAGTGTCACAAAAAACAAGTAAGGGGTGAAACCTGCTACCTGAAATGGAAAGTCGGGAGACCATCTGCGTCTGCTCGAAGGAGACTTTTGATCGACGAAGTGATATATGTTGGGAGAAGGGTACGCTCAATCGAATGGTTGCACCCAAAGTGGGCTGCCTACGTACCCAAACGGGATCATACCATACGTAGTTATCCTAATACAGGCTATACAGTCTAAGTCAAACAAAACATACCAGACAAGCCAAGGTAGTCTAAGTAGCAAAGGCCCAAGGCAATATGTCTGAGGCATCAACACAACAAAACAATACTAAGTCTATCAAGTGTAAGTAATATCAACACTAAGTGTAACAAAAAACAAGTAAGGGGATGAAACCTGCTACCTGAAATGGAAAGTTGGGAGACCATCTGCATCCGCTCGAAGGAGACTTTTGATCGACGAAGTGATATATGTTGGGAGAAGGGTACGCTCAATCGAATGGCTGCACCCAAAGTGGGCTGCCTACGTACCCAAACGGGATCAAGCCATACGTAGTTCTCCTAATACAGGCTATACAGTTAAAGTCAAACAAAACAGACCAGACAAGCCAATGTCGTCCAAGTAGCAAAGGCCTAAGGCAAAATGCCTGAGGCATCAACACCAACCAAACAATACTAAATCTATCAAGTGTAAGTAATATCAACACTATGTGTCACAAAAAACAAGTAAGTGGGTGAAACCTGCTACCTGAAATGGAAAGTCGGGAGACCATCTGCATCCGCTCGAAGGAGACTTTTGATCGACGAAGTGATATATGTTGCGAGAAGGGTACGCTCAATCGAATGGCTGCACCCAAAGTGGGCTGCCTACGTACCCAAATGGGATCAAGCCATACGTAGTTCTCCTAATACATGCTATACAATCCAAGTAAAACAAAACAGACCAGACAAGCCAATGTAGTCTAAGTAGCAAAGGCCCAAGGCATTGTTCCTGAGGCATCAACACCAACCAAACAATACTAAGTCTATCAAATGTAAGTAATATCAACACTAAGTGTTACAAAAAATAAGTAAAAGGGTGAAACCTGCTACCTAAAATGGAAAGTCGGGAGACCATCTGCATCCGCTCGAAGGAGACTTTTGATCGACGAAGTGATATATGTTGGGAGAAGGTTACGCTCAATCGAATGGCTGCACCCAAAGTGGGCTGCCTACGTACCCAAACGGGATCAAGCCATACGTAGTTCTTCTAATACAGGCTATACAGTGCAAGTCAAACAAAACAGACCAGACAAGCCAAGGTAGTCTAAGTAGCAAAGGCCCAATGCAACATTCCTGAGGCATCAACACCAACCAAACAATACTAAGTCTATCAAGTAAGTAATAACAACACTAATTATTAGTAAATAATTAAAAATATATTAGTAAAAATAATTATGGTATAATATAAATAATTATAAATTAAAATTTAATAACTAATTAATCTAATTAAAATAAAAAAATATTAAAATATATAATTTTTTTTTTAAAAAAAATTACAAAATAAGTGAAACGAATGGAAATAGAATGGTAGACATGATAAATACGACGGAGAGAGTATAAATTAATTTCAGAATGTACAGAGCTTATATCTATTATTAGTACAATAGCATTCCGAAATATATTAGTAGTATTTTTTATACAAATAGTAAAGTATTTTATTCGTTTACTATGTTAATTGATTATTAGTTTAATAATACAGTCATGAAAGAGTAAAATAAATAAATAAGAATGAACGTTCATATATATTAATTACTTTTATTTTGTATTATTTTAATAATAGTTAATAAAAAATTTAATGATCGAAAAGAACTTATCGAATAAAATAAAGATTAATTTTTCACATAATAAAAAAAGTTTTTTTAAAATAAAAATAATCAGAAAAAGTCTCTATCATTAATTTTTATTGTACTATAATAATAAAATAAATTCTACTTGAAATAAATTTAATATTGTTATATAATAGAATTAATAAATTTAATAATATTGAATAAAATATTTATAACAAAATAAATAATTATATTAATATAATTTTTAGGGAAAGAGTGAAGAAAAAAATAAATTATTAGATAAAGGTTATGTAGCCATAAAATATTAAGATATATGTATGTTCTAGGATTTATATATATATATATATATATTCTTAACAGAATCACACGTATTTAAATTGTCCCTTTTAAGAGTGGACTTTGCGTGTGTCCTCGTTGCCGCCGGCCCTGTATTGGTCAGATTCATTCATGGAGATTTCGCAGTCGAAGAAGCCTCAAATATCCGCCGTCATATTTGATTTGGATGGCACGCTATTGAACACCGGTATTGTGTTTCTCTCACGAGATTTTGATTTTGATTTGATTGCATTTTTTCTTTTTTCTAAAAAAAAATTAATGGGGTGCTTGAGTTTGCAGAGCAAGTCACAAAGGACGTTCTGAAGGATTTCCTGGCGAAATATGGGAGGGCTCAGGACGCCGAGAAGGAGAAGAGGAGATTGGGTATGACGTTTATTGATTCCTCTGTCACAGTTGTGAATGACTATGACCTTCCATTGACGCCCGAGCAATTTCGCGAGGAAATTGTGCCGATGTACTATGGGAGGTGAGCATCTCAACAATTCTCTAAAATATGAATGTTTTTCGAATTCTTGTCTTTTTTAATTCTTGCATGTTGTTCTATGCATGAGAGGTTTGGATTGACATTGTTTGTCGGCTTTGTCCCGTTCTTAGATTTCTTTGTCAGCTCAGATGTTGGCTATGGATGCCTTGAAAATTTGAACAGAAGTACTGTTGGAAATTGAGGATGTGTGAGAATCAATACAATGATCAATGGATGAGTTAAAACATTTTGCAAAGTTAGGACAATTCAACTATAAATTCAATTTTAGGATAATTCAAACAAAACACTTGAGCTTTTGACATAAAAGAAAGTTGAAAACTAGAGAATTTAATTCTTCTATGCTTGCAGCACACCAAGATCGATATGTAAAGGGTTTAAGAATTGTGGCTATTGGGGGTTGCACTCATTGGAGAAATTCGGCTTATACAAGCATGCGCTTTGCACTTCCTAAATCATATTATAGTTCGATATGGAAATCTCGGTTAATGAGTAAATCTCAATTACACTAAACAAAAAGTACCTAAGTGTGAGTAAGGTAACTTGTGATGGATTTAAGTAGTTTATGTATCAGTTGAGAAGGAACTGCAAGACTACAAGAATTAACATTACATCTCCGAACTAGGATTGTCTAACAAACAGTTTGATTCGCAAACACGTAATGATCATTTAACACAAATGTGTTGAATTTGAATAATCTTCTTTCCATATTCTCTAAACAGTATTTGCTATAGTTTTAAATTATGGATTGAAACTTGAACGTTGTGTAACTTTGCTTATAAGGATAGTTTCTCAACTGCACTGTGACCTTTCCTATTTTGTATGGTATGGCTCAAGTTGCTGTTATTTGGGTCCGCATGTTTACAACTATAATCTAAATTTCATTTGAGTCTCGGTTATTTTATAAATAGATTTCTTTTATTCACCCACTTTCCACAGCATTAATTATAAGATGCATAATGACAAAGTCATAAAAAGGTAATTGTAGCATCGCAAGTTTCTCTTGATGCTTAAATTGGATTTCTAATATAAAATGGTTATACTGGCATGGCAAATATGTTTAGATGTATTTAAGTTTGTGAATAGAAAATCATGTCTCAATGTGTAGAATAATTTCAATTTCCTTTTCACTTGTTTTGATGTAGGTGGAAACTGGCCAAACCACTTCCTGGTGCCAATCGTCTTATGAAGCATCTCCACAACCATGGAGTGCCTTTTGCACTTGCTTCAAATGCTTTGAGGAAAAATATTGATGGAAAGATATCACATCACGATGGTAGTATTTTCCACATTTTCATTTACTATCTTATCCTTGATTTAGTTCTATATTATGCTATATCTCCACTCATATCTTAATATTAAGTTGCTGAAACTTTTGTATCACACAATCAATTCAAAAGGGCAATGACTCTATACCATTAACAAAAAAAGTAACTTTTTTAAGTGTATTAGGAATAATTGTTCCCACAAACCATTACATCGACTGTATAATATATTCTCTTATCCCACATCCTACATGGCACAGTGCCTGCAATATTGAAAGAATTGAAGTAATTACTCTGCATATGCATTATTCTTGCAGTTTACTTATCTCTTTTTATATGGCTGTGCATCCTTGTCATAGTTACTTTATTATGACATGTTTTAAGTAAGATGTTATGCTAGAAAATCTTTTTGGTGAATAAAGTATCGTATGCCTTATATCTCTTCTGGTTTCGTTAAATAAATGCTTGAACCGTTGCATTGTTGGTGTTAGTTGTTGCATTGGAATTTGGAAGGAACATGCCAAAAGATTGGGACTGTATTTAACTAAAACCAAACTTATTAAAGTGTGTGGCTATCTGTTTCTCTCTTCTCCTTCCGACTTAATAAATACTTTCTATGAAATTTTAAAAAGGTATTCATAAGTATAAAATCATATAGTATTACATTATATCTTATGTCCACAATTTTTATGCATTCGTACCCAAGCTTTCTATGAAGACCTTGGCTGCAATTTTTTTTAGTTTTATGATAACTGTTTTTCTATAGGTTGGAAAGAGAGGTTCAAAGTAATTCTTGGGAGTGATCAGGTCAAATCAGGGAAGCCCTCTCCAGACATGTAAGGAAAAAATTTCTCACTTAGCAACAGTTCTTAATAGCTGCCATTTCTATTTTGTGATTAGTATTTCTTGATATCTCTGCTCTATGGAATTATTTTTGTTGTCAAATTTGTTTCTATATCAAGGGATGCTAAACAGTTAAGCTGTTAACACGATCTTTTTATCTATATAATATGACTTAATAGGACTTCAACATAAATATTGCCAAGTTAAGATTCTGATGGGATCCATTTTGTCTTCTTGAGTTCATTTCATACAGTCTTTTGCTTGTGTATTTAAGCATTTATTATTGTTTAGATTTCTCGAAGCGGCAGAAAGGATGGGAGTGGATCCATTGAATTGCCTTGTGATTGAAGATTCTATGTAAGTCTATTTCCCTGTTATTCTATTTACTTGAAACAGAAGACTATCCTTTATTACATACACTATACTGCATGTGAAATCAAACATATCTTATTTCATGACAATCTGGTCAAAATTGCAACAATCTTAAGCTACCTTGTTTAATGCTTATTATTTTTGATTGAAAGTCTACAATTTATTTTCTCTAAAGATCAGAAGTCATGCCATTCGAGTCAAGTGGGAATCTCTTTCAGTTTTTAAATTTCTTTCAATGTAAAATGCTGAGCATCTCAAAGATCACTTAGCTTTCTGATCTTTTCCTTGCTTTTTATTCATTATGATTGTAGTCTGAGTTACTATTAAATGTCATCAGATAATTGTAATCCAACACGTATCATTGTTTTAAATGCTTATAATGAACAATTGCATGGTATTTCCACATAGAACTTAATTGCTGGGGCTAACTTTAGATTTTAATGCAAGAGAAACTTGTATATGGTTTCCAACAGTGTCGGTGTCAAAGCAGGAAAGGCTGCTGGAATGAAGGTTGTAGCAGTTCCATCACTTCAAACGGAAGCCGATTCATATTCTATTGCTGACTTGATACTTCACTCACTTCTGGAGTTCCAACCAGAGCAATGGGGCCTTCCCCAATTTGGAGACTGTATGCATCTGTATTTAGTACATTTCTCTTATAATTTCTCCCATCTATGGATACAATGGATATATCAGCTTATTTTTCGTCAATTACAGGGGTGAACGATGCTTTGCCTATAGAACCAATTCGTCTAACAGGGTTCTTTACCAATGGGCTTCTCCAGATATATTCAGGTATTGAGAATCCATTCTACTCTACATTTATCATTTTTTTTTTTAATTTTTAATTTTTATTTTTTTTGTGACGATTGTTTTCCGTTACCTACATTTTGATGTGCTACTTTATCATCTTTCTTTATTCTCCAATGGATTGCAATTCACTAATACAATCCTTTGAATCTCATTTTGTCTGTTCTTTTACTTCTTATTGATGTTCTATTTACTAAATCTCATGAACTATTATGCGGATCCAGATGATGAACTTCCTGATCAAATCTGGGGACTCTTCCTTGGATTCGCGAAGTTTGATGATTCGAAGACTTCAAAGGCTGTAATCAGCATAGGTTGGAGCCTTGGTTGCGACACGAGAAGAACAATTGTGAGTATACTTCTGTAGCAAAAGCTTTACCAATATTTAACCTGTCATAAAATAAGGTCCCGTTTATATCCCCCATTTCAGACTAAGGCAATATATACACATTCAAGTTTGTAGCAGAATCATAAGTAAATCAGCTAAAGCAATTCTAATATAAGTTTGTTGATGCCTGAGTTTGCAAGATTAGGCGTCAAATGCATTGCGATAATTAAACTCATGTGTGTTCTAATATGTTAAACTAAGCATTAAACCATTTTACTAGACTATATCTGTGGATAACCTTATAATAAGCCGTGACTGTCTCTTGTAATAATACTACCATTTTGCTTGATCATAAACGCTCAAACTTGTATTGACCTATTTTACTTCCTTCAGAAACCATGTATGCTTGAAGAAACAGATGTCGAAAAATATGATGGTAAGATGCAATTGCTTCTGTTGGGCTTACTTCGAAGATCTTGCGATGAGGTACACAACTATGAATGTGCATTTCTGTTGCAACTTTTTTTCGGGTTATATTGTTCAGCACACTTCTATGAATTCTGTTACAATTTGACGCTGTCATCTTATTTTGGTTCTTACAAATTCCATATCTAATTCATATCTGCCATGGACATCAATCGACATATTTTCTGAAATCACCTCATCTCATCTCTGCTTCGTACAAGGGATCATTCAATCAAGTTCTATATAATTAGGAGAAGAATTTCTTTGGGGTTTGGATTTTTTTGTTGGTATTTGAATAAGAAAAAAATTGAGTTGGAATAATCGTAGGATGAGCGTTGATGTGATATTTTGAAGGAGTAGTTCGAATTTGTTTATTTTCTTTGAGCTGTGACATCTACCCCGCTGTCGCGGGGGAGCTTATTTTCATCATCCATGACTGTTGTAGGGCAACAAATTGGACAACATAGACATAACTGATGAAGACAGAATGGCTGCTGATGCAGCCTTGGATTTGCCTGAATTCTGCAACAAATCATTCACATCTGATGCTGAAAATGGTTTGTGCATTGATTGACAACAACATAGATTTACTTGGCTGTGTTTTCATGGCATAACATGAACAGCCTACATTTGATAAGTGATTGAATTGATGTGAACTAGTTTGTAGCTTCCAATGTGTTTTATTGTATTGTCTACTAACTCTTACATACTTTTTACTGTATTTTTATAGATAAATGAATGCATTCCATTGGTCTTTAACTATGTCAAAACACATCAATAAAATAATTTTGATTCTGTAAATAAATATTCTGCGACACATGAGATTAATTATTTATGTATACACACTTATCCATGGATAATCTCACAAGAAACTAAGTTACAAGTGTGATAATGGTTAAGATATCATAATTTGTAAATAAACAGATTGTTTGTTATCTATGATCAGGTAGATTAATATTTAGTCAATCCAATCATAATTTGTAAATAAGCAGGTAGTCAACTCATAGCATTTTTAATAATATTATAGATATATATATATATCTAAAAAATAATTATATAATCTAGTTCAAATAAAAAATATTTCAAAATATATTTAACCTAAAACCGATTCAAAATTTGATGTTATTGATCGTTATATATATATTTTTTAAAATTAATAGTTATTTAAACAATAAATAAAAATTATTCTTATAGATCTACAATAAGACAATGACATAATATTAGTTGATTGTTAAATTAATTATTTGATTTCATTTAATCTAAACTTCTTAAAAAATTACTATAAAAGATAATATTCTATCAATCACATATATTGGTTTACTTTTTGCATATAAATTTTTATATATTAATATTTTATATGTATACAGCACAAAAGAGTTACGAATAGTCAATTTTTTGTATATAAATTTTCTAATATTATTGTTTTATTATAATATTTTTGAATAAATTAAAATACATAAATTTAATAAATTTAATATGTCAGGTCCGGGTTTGGATCTAATATTAAATTAAATTTTAGGAATTGTAAAAGTATTTCGAATTTATCCATTCTTATCGGGATAGTTTGGGTCGGATTTGAGTATACATGGTCGAATTCGGGTATAGCTGGATTCGATTCGGGTCTTGGGTTCAACGATATGTATTAAGGTCGGATTTCGAGACCATCCAATTGTGTTCCCTATTTGTTCCCTTGTATTTTTGTTTATCATTTTTTTTTTTTTTAATAATAACTTAGTATTTTTTTCATCAAAAATATTATAGTATTAAATAATTTGCCCTCTCCCCCTCCCCCAAGTTTTTCGTTTTAATTTTATTTTTTTGTCTAAAAAACAATAAAATTTATATTTATTAATTTTCTCTTTAACATTCAACTTTTTAAAATAAAGAATTATAAAAATTAATATAGTTATTTTAATTTATTCTCAATCCAGTCCAATATATATATATTTTAAAAAAAAAGATCGAATTGATAGAAATAAACTCAAAACTCAGAGGTTAGTTTGTCACTGGCGACAAGGATAGACTTAGATACATCGTACATCCATGCATGTATAATTTGGAAGACACGTGGCCATGGCCTTTATATTAATATGATTTATATAATTAAATTAATATATGCATGCATGCATGGAGAAGTTGTGTTTATATATATATATATATATCACTATTCAATAATTCATTTTATTTTTTATTTTACTTTTTTTAATTAAGTAAACAAATCCAAGTTGACCTGTGTGTTTGATTATAGATATAAAATAGTATTTGGTTAGGTATACTCATAATCTCAAAAATCATTGCTTTGCTGTGCAGACTCGTGTAATAATTTAATTTGCAGATTTTGCAATTACCAAAACAATAATATATATATAAGGCAATAATGAATTAAATTAATTAAGCATCTTCCCCAACTAAACCCCAACAAATATCTTGGAATCCTATGCTATCTGAGATCACTCATCTCTGCCACATTAACTTCTTCGATCTGCACCAAAAGGTGTTTCTATATATATATATATATATATATAATACTAAAACACAGTCTAATAGGGTTAATTGAAGTAAAATTGTAACCGCGAAATCATAAGTTTTATTTAGATATGATTATTGAAAGTTTTGAAAAAACAATAAAATTTACATATTTGGTGAATATATGTATTTGTTTGGGGGTTTGGATTTTGAGTTAGGATTTGAATAGTAAAAATTTTGAATTTGAATAGATGTACGATATGATATAAATAGGTGTTGATGTGATATTTTGAATGTAAAATTAATTTTTAGTATAATATAAAAAATGAAAAATAGGTGTTTGATTTGATGTTTTTGGAGAAAAAAAATTAGATGAATAGTAAGATTTTGCACAAATCTTACAAACGAACACACCCAGTGGATGTGTTTATGTGATTCCAAAACAGATTCTTTATGTGGTCTAATGTGCTTATAATATGATTTTTTAACATATTTCTTACATTGTCCATTTTTATAATTATATCAATAAACTCGTATTAAATTATAGAAACAAATGGACTAAATGTTTAAAATTGTGTTCAAGAATCTCCACACATGATGCAAATTATTTCAATAATATATATATATATATATAGATATATATTATTCACATGTTAACCATTTAAAGATTTATTACAGTTCTGTAAGGATGGTCGAATTTGTGTGATTTGGTGGCCGTTAATTTTACTGTCACTACAAAAAAATAATATATTTGTAACGGGATTTCGTTTCTAAAGTTCACGTAACTAACGTAATTCCATTCCTATTTCCGATTCTAATGTCATTAGTAACGGAAAAAGTAGATTTAGAGACAAAAAAATTTTGTTACAAAAATGATTTTTTCTTATAACGAATTCAAATTCCGACGATAGTTCTTTTTAGCGAATAAGATCTATATCCAGTTCAAAAAAATATATATATATATATATAATTGAAAAAACAAATTCGACTCGATATATTTTAGAAGAGTTGACTATCCTGTCATTAATTAAATGAGTTTAGTTGATGCTAATGCCATTCTTTGTAAGTCATTTCATTGTCTTTTGCATTTCTATTTTTTTTTTTTTTTTTTTATAATGTTTACCTGTACGGCAATGGGAAGGTGTTTCAATGCATTTCTTAAATTAAATAAACAATTTTATATACTCTATTGTTCCTTAATAATTTATTCATTTTTTTATTTTGATTCGTTTTATAACAAAAATATTCATTTTATTTTTTTAGTAATTGTACCATCTACTTAACATTACAAATACCCTTCTATTTTACAATATATTACACAAATGTCATTACTTTTATATCATAATTTAGTTTTTTTACTTTTATTTCTACTTTATTCTAATATTTCTAAAACTCCGTTAAAAAATAAATTGATATATAGATATGGGACGAATGAAGTATATAGTAACAGATGGTGTCACTTGCTACTGCTTTGCCCTATCACATCACACTAAATAAGTCAAATTTTTTAAATTTATCCATTTTTAATATATATATACACACACATTATAATCAAGAGAAATTTAGACTTTCTTCTTGGATTTCTTTTGAGTTATTACATGTTCCTCAATTATTTATTTATTTTTGTTTCTCATAAAAATTACTTCAAACTATTATTCATTATCGTGAATGAGAGTTGAATCATAGTAAAAAAAAAATAAAAATAATAAGGTATAAAAAAATAAAGCTTAAAACTCTTTTTTTTTTTCTTTTTTTTTTTCATACTCTATATATATATATATATATAAATTTTATGACTTGAGTACCCCATACTTTATATAAAAAAAATAATCCAATTACCTATCGATGGTAAAATATGTATCATTAATTAATTTGAAAATGAAATTATGATTCACTTCCCTATAGTAAATAAGCATAAAGAAAATGGGTAGCTAGTTCTAATCTCGTTTCTATTTTATCTTCATTTATTTATTTATAATTATGCTAACATATAATATGAATTGAATTATAGATGATACAACAATTTCTATTAGCAAAGCTGTTGAACAGTTCTAATCTGTAAATTTTCAATGATTTTCACTCCACATCTTCATGGAAACTGGTGGATGCTTTCATCAAATATATATTATATTATATTATATGGTCAAGACAAATTGCAAACTAATATACACACACATATATGTATATATATATATAATCAATAATCATCGTCGTCTTCCAAAGGACAATTGTGAATATCATTGTTAACCTGTCAAAAAACCCCAAAAGCCGTTGAGAGATTCCCCAGGAAATTTCTGTCCTCGAAAATCTTCATCTCTATTTCCTCTCTGTTAAACCAATGGAAAAATAAAAAGGAAACCCCAAAAATTCCATTTCCAGCCAAATAACTGTTCTTGTCATTTCTGTGCTCTTTCTTTGGATCAATTCACTTTTCTAACCAGTAAATTTGCACACACAACAACCATTCCGAAGAAAATAAAATTAAGAAAGAGAAGAAAAGAGAGATGGAATTCTTTAACAGTGATATCGATGGATTTCCACCAGGGAGCTACTTAGGGTTTCAAGAGATGATGAAAAGCAGTATTAATGGCGAGACAGCACAAGTGATGAGGGCTGTTTTGAAGCCTCCAGGACTACTGCAGCACCAGAGGCCATCGAGTGAAGAAAAGGCCATGATTGCTCTCAGGAATCACAGTCAAGCTGAAAGAAGAAGAAGGGAAAGAATTAATGGCCATCTGGCCACACTCAGGACACTCATTCCTGGAACTAACAAGGTAAATCTAACTCAATCGTATTAATCATTTTTATTTCTATTTCTAGGGTTGGTTAATTGCATTCGAAGATTGTTTCAACCTTGTAATTTCCAAATATATTTTGTTCTCGATCTTTTGTCTGTTCTTGTATTCGTGTTGCTTCACGCCCTTAATTTAGACTCTTGAATCGGGATAGGTTAGGATGCTGAATAAGATTAATCAGCACATCAAATATAGTTTTAACAATATATAATAATAATCTATACAACATATATTGTATAAATTGTTTATGCTGTATTAATATAGTTTGTGTTGGGATTGTATTATTCTGTTAGTTCATGTAATTTATTTGTATTATATTAACAAATATCTTGTTTTGTCAGTACCGTGCTCGCTCCACCCCCTAGAAAAAAAAAAAAAAAAATTGATTTAATCTACACATCTCAACATCAAACCAATTTTGTGACTTGTATTCATTAGAATCTAATGCTATGTTTCATCTGACAAAATTATGCTGTTAATTTCAGAATTAGATTCACTTTCAAAAGTGGGTATATGCTAAACTGGACAAACATCCCATTAGCTAGAAAATCTCAATTCCTATAGTATAAAATTCTACTAGATAATATAAATAAATAATATTACTTTAGACAGTTTTTACTTTATTTCCAACTTTAATTTAACTCCTAACATAATCTCCAATTCATGGAAAGAATTTCCTCATTGTGTTTTATGCTGAAAAGGCAACACAGTATACATGATTTCAGATTCTGAGCATATACACTGATCTTCATTTCAATAAGGTTCAATAAGAAAAGAAAAATAAAATCATCAAGTCAATTAGTTTCTATTTCAATTTGTTACAATCAGATGGACAAAGCAGCATTGTTGGCTGAAGTTATAAGTCAAGTGAAAGAACTAAAGCGCAACGTGGCGAGCGCTACTGACGGCGCGCTCGTCCCAACAGAAGTCGATGAGGTGAAAGTCGAGCAAGAAGAAAGTGTCGATGAAGGAATGTCTTCGTTTTGCATCCGAGCATCACTTTGTTGTGATTTCAAACACCAACTTCTATCAGACTTAAAAGAAGCCATCGAGTCTCTCCCTTTGAAGATGGTAAGATCCGAGATTGCAACACTAGGAAGTCGAATGGTGAATGTTTTTGTGATTGCTAGATCAAATGAGGATTCGAATATTGAAGATCTAGGTGAAGGGGGGCAAGTTCTTGTTGATTGTGTGCATCAATCTTTACGATCCGTTCTTGATAAGTTTTATGCATCCGAAGAGTTCACTTCGACGAATGCACTGTCCGGAAAAAGGAGAAGAGGTTCATTCTTCGGCCCTTCCGGTTCATCGTCTTCCACGGGAGATGTTTGGTGAATTTTTAGGTTTTTTTTGTTTGTAGAACAATGTGGGAGAACAATGGTATATGCCTTGGCATTCATATATTATATCTTGTGCAAATGTGCTTAGTCATATGCTATATATCCCTATGATGTGTTGCACTATTTTTTATGCCAATATTAGAACAATTAATGAACTAATTGTTACTATCTAGTGGTGTTTGTTGTGATATAATGTCGTTGTGGCATCCTTGAAGATGCTTCGAGGTTTGATGATTGTGATGAAATATTTTTGTTTTGATTTGTTAGTATAATTTTGTGCATAGTATATTTTTGGATAAAACGCAATAGTCCGCAGGTTATACTAGTTGAATAAACTATACTAGACAAATAATGTGTAACATACTCAAATGGAAAATATGTTGAAAATATAAAGGATTAGGAAGCATAATAGTTTAGGTAGATTCCATGTTGAACTTGGACATGATTTCTTTAATTTGGATCATATTAAATATTTATATTGGATCAAATACTACTTGATATAAAGAAAAAATAAATTAATTATTCAACATTTGAATAAACCTCTTAATTGATTATCTATAAAAATTGCCCCCTTTTTTTTTTGCAATTTTAACATTTGAGGAAATCCCTTTAAGCCAAATAGCATGGAAAACACAAGTTGATGCAACAACATATATACTCCATTTGACAAGTTGATAAAGCAACAATAAATTATTTTTTACTTAGGTCCAAGTGAATGCGTCATTGCTCAAGAAAAACACAAACCAAGTTGTGCTTTTATGATCATCGTAGTTTTTAGCCAGACCAATAGCGCTAAAGCCGACAAGCTCTGGATTTCCAACACTCGAATACAATGAACTACAATCAATAATACCTTGATGTATTTGAGAAATCTCTTGGCCTCAAATGAGAAGTCATAAGATGCTCCATGTATCTACTTACTAAATCAATTCTAAAAAGAATGTCGAGTCTAGTGCATATCAAGTATCTAAAGCAATTAACAAGGCTCTTGTAGTAAGCTAGATTCACTGGTTTTCCGTCTCCATCATTTGACAACTTGATGTCATTCTCCACGAGAACGTCAATAAATTCGCAGTTTTCAGTTGAAAATTTCTTCAATACCTCTTCTACATATTGTTACTGTAAAATCAAAATTTTATCGATTTTTTGGTGTACTTGGATATCCATAAAATACTTCATAAATCATAAATCTTGTAAGTCTGTTATCTTAGAACTCATTTTTCATGGACCACTTGAATTTCTTAATTATATTTTCATCATTTCCCATGAAAAATAAGTCATTCGTATATAGACACACAAATAAGATACCTCCACTTCTATGCATTTCCATGTATAAGGCATGCTCGTAGAAGCTTCCGATATGAAAAAAAAAAATCATCAATCCTTGAATTTCATGCGTACGAGACTTGCTTTATACCCTATAGGTCATCTTTTAAATTTAAGTACTTTGTCTTCATGGTCTTTGATAATGAAATTTGATGGTTGCTCGACGTATACTTCTTTTACAAGCTTTCCATTCGCTAATTTCACATTCATTTGCTTCTTCAAACTCTACGAGATTATGGATGTATTCTTTTAACAAAATATACACATATATTTTTTTAATATTTATTCATTATATTTATATTCTCTACACAATTTTTCATACCTCACATGAAAAATATCTATTCAAATTATCTTACAAAACAAACACACCCCTTGTGTTCCCAAACAAAACACATAACCTTATGTTCTTTTTGGATCATCCAAGCTACCAATCAATCAACTAATTATTTTCATACATAATTCTCATGTTCATGTGAAGCAACACAACAAATTCTTATATTACATATTTCTACCAAACTATCATACATATCTAGTTGTAAATTACTATTAATATGGTTTTAATTTGTCCTTCTGCAACCAGTACGTGTCACTCTCATGCAATTTTTGGAAAAATAAATTATATTATCATTATTATGCAAGTGTATATTCAAATATAGAAATACATATGAGCATGGAAATTACATTTTTAGCTAATTAATCAAGTAGACGACCACAGAATTCTCCAAGATCTATGATACCTAATGAACACAAACCCTAAAAACCTGTAACCAACAATGAAGCTCAACATTATCACCAAGTTAGTCCATTTCTGTGGTTCCTTCAACCCTTGTTGTTTCAAGAACTCATTCCCGAATATTATGCAGACATCTTCGGCGCCTTGAACGCATCTCAGCCTCCCGTGAACTCCTCCGAATTCGTTCATCAACAAGCATTCAAATGGATATTTGAACAAGCTCAAGTACTGCATAAAATACCAAAACTTAGGTATGGTGTCCTTGGATATGAAATATCCCGAAAACAAGAAAAATGACCCCATGATCGCGTAGATCAGCGACATCCCGGTGATCAAATCCGGCACCAAGGCGCTAAAACACACCACAAATGAGTTCGCCATCGACACGACCATCCAGACCACTAGAGTGAAGTAAAGGAATGCGCTTAAGTCGCGCCTAAGTCCGACTAGCCAGTAAACCGAAGTCGAGTACAACAAAGCTATTATAAGAAGGAAAGGAAGAAACACGAGAGAATTCGAGATAAGGTATGAGGAGACTCTATAAACTCCTCTTGATGTCTCCCTCGTTACAATCTTTCTTTCTTGTAAGAAAATTGGCATTGCTTCGACTGTCGATGAGATCAAGAAGCTTAGAGTGAAGGCGAAAAACCCTACCTGGTTTTGCAGCCTCATTATCTTCGAATTTCCGAAGGAGGCGACGTACACTGTGCCTAAGATTATTCCGGCGAGTAAGGTCCAAACTGTCTTCGCTACAAAGAGCTGTTTGTTTCTTAAAATGTTGTTAGAAAATCTCTGGCTTAAGATCACTACCTCTTTCAATGGCGTATTAGGGTAACACAACATTAGCTTTCGATCTTCCGATGAGAGATTCGTTGAAACGGCAAAATCCCTTTCCATGGATCCGAATTGGAATTCTACATTTAGGGATTCTTTGAAATCGATGGCGAATTCGAGCACGTTGACACGGTTAGGGATTGAGTGACCCGATTGGTTAATTCTGTCCTCGAGGAGGTTCAAGGAACCCTCGTGGAGAACCACGCCGTTGGACAAGAGTACAACGTTGTCAATTAGGTCGAGGATTCGAAACCCCGGCTGGTGGATGGTCAGCACCACCGTCTTGCGGCGGCGCTCCGCCATCGATTTGAGCAGCAACATCACATCGAATGCCGACCCAGAATCCAGCCCGGAAGTCGGCTCGTCCACCAGAAGCACCGCCGGATTGTGCACCAAATCCACCCCTATCGACACGCGCCGCCGCTCCCCGCCAGATACTCCCCGGCGGGATTCGCCGCCGATTCTGACTCCGGCCACGTGTTCCAACCCTAATTCCTTCAGCAGCTGCTGCACACGTGCCTTAGCATTTTCTCCGGCGCCGCCGCCGGCCGGCAGCCGGAGGCGTGCGCTGTACAGCAGTGTTTCTTCGACGGTGAGGTGAGGGAATAGAGCGTCGTCCTGCGTCACATACCCCGAAATCCTTTGAAAACCGGCCGCCGCATTCATAACCACTCCGTTGACGAGAACATCGCCTGAAATTTCGCCGGGAACGGGCGTCCCCGACAGGATTTCCAGCAATGTGGTTTTTCCGGCGCCACTAGGGCCGGCGATTGCAGTGAGTTGTCCAGGCCTGGCTTCGCAATTAATGTTCTGCAAAATGCAGCGATTAATGTTAGGGGTGAGGCAACTGCGGTTGTCTCTTGGGGACAATCTGTAGGACAGATTTCTTGCGGTGATTGTGTAGTCTGGATTAGCAGAAAAAGGAATTATCTTTACGGGCAATTCCATGGTTAAAAAGGAATGTAGGTGGGAAAAAGTAGGGAGGAAGATGAACGAACTCTGTGCAAAATTAGTAAAACTGATCGATCGATGGCTATTGTTTAAATAACAAGATTATGAGTCAGTTACCTAACTGGTGTGAACAGTAATAATGTCTTGTGGGCTTTGCCAAACCTCTTTGTAAGAAAGTCAAGAAGCTAATTAAGGGTTAAATTAAATTTCACTTTTTGATCGTCATTTTTATCTAGGGTGTGCTTTTTTTGGGTATTGGATTTTGAATAGTTGTATAATGTGATATAAATATGTATTAGATGTAAAATTAATTTTTATTATAATATAAAATATGAGAAATAGATGTTTGATTTAATATTTTTAGAGAAAAATATTTTAATAAATAGTAAAAAAATTGTGAAAGTTTAATAAACGAACACACCCTATTTTGTAATTTTCTGATAATAACTATATTATACGTTTTGTTATTTTTTTAGTCTAAAAAAATATATATTTTTTATATGTATAGACTTCACTCCATATTATATATTTTACATATTTTTAGGGTAAAATAATTTTTACATATAAAAAAATTATCAACTATTGGTAAAATACAATTTTTATTAAACATTGTGCAAATGTCTACTCTTCAAGTTGAGGGAGAGGGTATTTTTTTATTTTTTAAATAGAGTACAAAAACCAGTTGTACAATGGTAAAATGACCCTACTTGTATTGAAAGTTTGTATGAAATTTTTGTTGTATGCTTCTAATTTATTTGAAAAAAAAAAAAAGATACTTTCCTCCGTCCGCTTACAAAGTTTACATGTTTCTATTTTGGGACGTCTAATTACAAAGTTTATATTTCATTAAATACCCTACCTTTTTCTACAAATACTCTTACTTTACATCACATCGTTACTTTTACACAAAAAAATAAGAGCAAAAATGTCATTACACTACTTTTAACTACTCACTATAATTAAAATACTATTATTTTTTAAACACCGCGCTAAAAGTAAATGTAACCCTTGTAAATGGACGGAGGAAGTATTTTAGTGGTATCAACTTTTACTATAATTCAAATTTTATATTGGTAGTTGGAGCGGGACTAGAATGACAAAAATGTATAAATTGAAGTGAGACCAAACTTGTACAAATATATATAATATGACATATATTAAATACTTCTTCATATTATATTACCGCGTTTCAAATGTATCGAGACATACTATTTCAACATGATATTTATTTTATTATATAATCATTGTGATTCCTTATATTTTTTCTGTTCACAAAAAAAATATATTCATTAATTTATAAAAAAAAAACACACACACATTTTTTAGTTGACATATAAAAATTAATACTTTATTTTACAAAAAATCTAGGGTTAATTAAAATTGCAAATACAATAGGGGTGTTGATTTAAATTTTAAATTGAAATTAATACTATTCAATGAGTCTATAATGTGTAATGAAAATATGCTAATTTTTTATAAAATATTTAAATTAAAATTTAAAACAAATATTGAATTTTAAATCAAATCTAATCGAAATAAATAAACATGCATAAATAAGGAAAGTAGAGCGAACGAGTAGGCTATAATTAGAATTTAGACATAGAGAAGGACGCTGCTCCCGCCGCCGTACTGCTGGTCGTACCAATTAATTAATTAATTAATCTTTTATTATTATACTCTCTTTCCTCAATTACTGTAATCTACTCCCTTATGGTGTGCTATCATATTTTAGGAGGAGTATAATTAGTATATAATTAAAAATATATTAGTAAAAATAATTATTTTATAATATAAATAATTATAAATTAAGATTAAGATAACTAATTAGTTTAATTAAAATTTAAAAATAAAATAAAATAAAATTAAAGTGTGTAATCATTTTCCAAAAAAGAAAAGTGATGGAACGGACAGAAACGGCAACGTGGACATGATATCTGAGACGGAGGGAATACTATTTATTTTATATTTTCATCTTTTCTACTTAAATAAAAATAACAATATCTTAATGTCAAAAATGTTTCTAATTTTTATTAAAAATATATATATTTTATTTATAAGGATCAAAATTTCAAAATTATTTTACACACTTAAACTACCAATAAAATATTACTTCCTCCTCCACAATTTTAAGTACTTGTTTTATTTTTTTATATATTTTATTCAAAAGTATTTTTTTTTATTTTAGTAAAAATAATCGTATATTAACATCAAAATATTTTTAATTTTTAATTAAATTACAAATATAACATTACATATAAAATTAATTTATACTTGAATTAAATTTTTTTACAGACATCCACTTATATTAGTTCTCAATGTACTGCAAAATACCAAAAAAGTATTTTAAAATAAGCTAAGGAAATATTATTTTTAATTTACTTTTTAAAATATTTTTTTACTATAAAAAGCAAAATATACATCTCACATTAAATTAAAATTCGTACCTAAATCAAATAAGTGGGTGCGTGAATTACAGTCGTTGTTAAGTAGTAACATAAAGAATCTTTTATGCAATTTAAAAACCACAAGTAAGTTATATGAAATATTAACCAGTAACATAAAGAATTTTTTATGCTATTTTAAAACCACAAGTAAATTAATTATATGAAATTTTATGATCAAAAAAATTTCAACAAATTTCGAAAATCACAAAAAAAATTTATATTATTTTTCCTATTTATGCGACGGAGCGAGTATAATCTTTCTTTATTTTGTTTGTATTAATTATTAGAAGAAGATTATAACAAAGCACTCCAAACTTTTTGGCTGGCAAACCCAACTAATAGTTATGACCTTCTCTTATCAAAAGAGAATAGAAATATATCTCTCATAACCGTTAACACGTTTTTTATTTTAATTTATAGCAATAGATATATTTTTATTTCTAGTAAATTTATTAATTTAAAATATATATAATAAATATAAAGTAATTTAATTTAATTACTAATATTTTAAACATAGAACCACTCAAAAAACATTAATTGTTATATTTTTTTAATAAAAAAATATTTTTATCTATATCTAAATTTTTTATATATTTATAAAATTAGTTTATATTAAATATAAATAAATATAAATAATATTTATTTAATTGTATTATTAAAATTCATATGGTATATATTTTATTTGAGATATAATATTTAAAATATTTAAATATATAGTCTAAATTATTTTAATCATAAATATTATAATTTATATTTTAAAATATCAACCTAACAACTCACATAAGAAAAATAATACAATAATTTATTATCATTAGCGTATTAAATTATATTGCCCGAATTAAATGCATTGAATATTTTGGGATGAATAAAGTATATTGTTTAAATAGTGATTTGATGTGAAGTTTTATTTAATAATAATGTAATTTTATTAAATAATTTTAAAAATAATAAAAATTAGAAAATTAGAAAGAAAAAATATAAAAAAGAATTTTTTCGGATGTGTTTGTTATGTAAAATAATTTGAAAAAAATATTTTTTTTATATAAAATATAAAAATGATGTAGATAATATAAAAATAATAAATATATACTATTTTTTTTAATAAAAATTATATATATTTATTTTATAAATAAAAAAAGCACGCCCATATTTCAAACATATATATATACTATGAAACAAAGAGTGTGTTAAGTTTTGATTTTAAACTAAAATTATTAATATTTATTTTATATAATTTTCAAAAAAGTATATATTATTTTTTTTATATATAAATATCATATTAAAATATTATTTAAATAAAATACTCTAACTTAAATTAAAACAACAAACCAAAAATTTATTGGAAGTACATCCTCCGTTGAAACGAGCACTTGCTATGATAAATAATTGATTGACTAAAATTCAAACCTTCTCAAGTGGATCAGCCTTCATTGATGTTGAAAATAATACTCCATTTATTTATTTATTTATTGTTGTTATTATTTTCAATTTAGAATATCATAATTTTTTGTAATTTTTTTTAAATATATGCATAGTTTTTTTTTTTTTTTTTTTCTAATATATATATGCTTACATATAGTTTACAAATTTATTTCAAACAAAAATTAAGAGTAAATATTTTTTTCTAAAAAAAAAAATCGAAACTATACAACTGTAAAAATAAATAAATAAATAAAACCGAGTAAGTATGATTGTAATTACTTTATTTATTTAGCCGCAATATGATTGTTAAATTAATTAGCTCATGCATGCACGCCGCCATTGGTAAGTTAAATTTAAAAAACACAATTATATTGTGATACTTTGTATAGAAGAACAATTTTCAACTACATGAACTGTCAAATAAATAAATAAATAACACCAACTTGAAAAAAATGTTGTAGCACTGAATATTTATATAATTTAAATTACTAAACAAATCATTTTTTGATGCATTTACTTGCTTTACTAATCACAACAGCTTTACTAAGACAATAGTTGTCTCATTAGTGTTTAATAAATAATTACAGAGTCAATTATTTGCATATTAAATAACATATCTTTTTTAGTTAAGTAAATTTTTTAAATAAATAATATATGTATAAACATATTCAAGATAGTCAATATGTATACATTATAGAATTTAATACACACATGTTGATGTTTAAAAAATTTTTTAAAAAAAAAAAATTATTATCTCTACGATATTATGTAAAGTTAATTTGGCCTTAATTATGAGATGTTGAGTTCAACATTTCCTCAAAATGTATTGTTTAATAATACTCACTCAAGGCAAGCATGTTCATTGGCTAGAAAATTTAATTGTTAAAATTGGATTTCTATTAATTCGGAAATGAACCCGGACCAACCCTTCGCCATTTGATCTACAAAGATTTGACAAGTTCTTACTTGAGAATACTAAAGTTCAAAAATATATTACAAATTGAAATTTTGTAATAATGAATAGTAAAATAACTTTTTGTAGTATTATTACCATGTTATATATATATATATATATGATGTATTACAATCAACTCCTTTGTAGTATTATTTTACATTTAAACATTTTAGTTCATATTTTTTCTTAGAATTAGATTATTGTTTATTT